AATCTTCAGTAGGCCAGTTTGATCCATTCCATCATGACAAAAAGATGTAGCGACACATTAGGACCCCGAATAGTATAGCTGGTCTCTAGTTTTTGCATCACTGGCATGCTAACATCCGACAGCATCAGTTGTGCACTAAGGGTCAGAAATGTTGGGAGCAATGATCTTAGCAGCCGATTAGGCCGCTACCGCATTTCAACTGGCGTAGGTAGAGCAGTGAACACCAAGGTCGTTTAGATGCAACAGTGAAACAGAATTATGATTCATGCTCGATGGTGAGGTATTCGATCAATTTTGATCGACTGCTTAGTGAGTGTTCTTTGCTTGCTTGTTACTCTTTTGTCCAATTACGTACTTTCTCACTTACCACTTCGGTTTATCGCCCTTCCGACTTTGCACGTGTAGACGATTCGGTTTATCGCCCTTCCGACTTTGCACGTTTAGACGACCAGGCAGCTACGAGATGACTTACAAACTGTACGTAGTTCAGAATTTTCGGGGTTCTTGGTACCCCAGGCCACTTACTCCATTTAGTGAGAGCCAGTGGTTATTAGACGTATTTGGTTTTGGAAAAGGTTTATTCGTCAAACAAAGTGCTAGTGAAAAACTTTGATGAACTTTGCAACTGGTATATCTTTGTAAACTACTACTCCTAAAGTTGCCGAAAATCCGTCTACAGCCCACGCCCGATTTCGTCCTTTTTGGGGCTCAGTTGGTAGGCGCAGTCCTTGGGTTTCCGTCAACCTTATGTTCTACTTGAAACCAAATTGCACGGAATCAGTGAATATACACTCATTTGCAAACTAATTTGGTTTTTCGAGAGACTCACCTGGAACCCAGCAGAATCTCTCGTTCGAGATTTTCTCAGGCAACTAGAATCATTTTTGAGGAGTGTTTTAACTGGAACAAACTAGGTGGATCCCCACTTTTAAGACCGCGTTTGAGCTCCACATGGGTGACTACATACTAGTGGCTGCCCTTCTGATTAAAAGAAACTTTTCAAGCCGTTATAGTTGGGGAATCCCCAAGTGACGGACAAAATTTGTTTTAAGTAAAACATCCAGAATCAAAGCAACACAATAAAAAAGAAGCTAAGACAACGATTGAATTGTTCTATGTCGATGATGAGATGTGGTCACGCATTGCAGCTTCAATCAAGTGACTAATACTGAGTGCTGATGAGCAGTTGGGAAATATACCATAAAGTGGGGGTATGCGTTTAGCACGATATGCTCTTTAGGGCGCTTCGTGTTGTGTAGCTCTACAAACGAACTTAGATTCATTTCTGGGCGATTTAAACGTGTTCATTTTCAAGAAGAACAACTAGCCTTTGTAAGGAGTACACCGCAGAATAGGATATCCCTAGAGGGCACCAGAGAGAAAACCAGCGTACGTGAAGCATCTAGTCTGAGTGGTGGAGTAGCAGCAAAGTCTTATGGGAGCTAGAAGTGTATCGTTGTTTTACTACTTTTAGCTTCTCAGTAGTAGTGCCTCATTCTGCGAATAAAGCATTGATTTTTGGGTTACAAGTTTCCTGTTACGCTACTCGGCCTCTGCTCCCCAACATCGACGTCATTCAGCCCGAAGTCGAACCGCTTACAATCTCAGAATTTACTGTCGTTTTTGTCAGCCGCTGGGACTGAAATTACTGTGACAGTCTCACTATTATGTCGGTTGACAACACACCTTAAAGGCGTACACATACTCTCCTCGTTCATTGTACAGAGCAGGCAGTAGTCAGGGAGCGTGTGTGGAAAAGGCTCGAACAGAAACGGTGATACTATGGACAAAGTGGGCTGAATGGCAGCTGGTCATAGAAGCTTTGAGATAAGCGTATTTCTGTTACAAACCAGCTGATCATAAACTGCCACGTGGTACAATTTAGCCACATCCTTATAAAGCAAACTACACACAAGGTTGCCGAAAGCTCTTCCACAGCCCACGGCCGGTTTCGTCCTTCTTGGGGCTTATCAGGTAGGCGCAATCCTCGAGTTTCCTTTATAGATAAAGTTTTCTTTTCTCA